GAGAACAACAGGGAGATGTTGCTGAAACTCTGTCTCGTATTCGAGTAGAGCATGGAAACTAACTCCATATACACATCATGGGGCTGTCCAAAAAACGTGGACAATTCGAAACATATACGGTTATAGATATGCAAAGATCTGCATATTTCCAACCGTATCTCTTTCGAACAGGAGACGCCTAGCTAGGTTACGTGATATAGGAACATGATATGGAAAGAGGGGTGTAGGATGCCTCACCTTGCTCTCCTGTAAAGTGACGAGTCGAGGGCGGTGGGGAATAATTCTTGTAATAGCCTCTCCTACAACAAATGAAGATAATAATGTCAATTGTAAATTTCGGCAGCACCTCCCCTACACGGTGAGGTAACCAAAACCTATAACAAACCAACGGCGCGATGGCCGACAACCACATACACATCTTATACCTTGCAAAACCACGGCAAGTCAAAGGTGTGGGGCGGCGGGAGGGCAAGGCGGACGGCGACTGCAGGGCGGGGCAGGGAGCGGCAGCCGCATAACCTATTAAAACATAAAAGAAGCCATGTCACTTGTCTGCTGAAATTAAATCAATCTTGGAAGTGCATATCCAGTACATTAGACAAGTACAAACCCCAACCATTCTAACAATAGTCCAAGGAAGGACTTTATCTGGGAGAGTTAATTTCAGCCGTAGCAAGACAAGGCTGTAGCTAAAAGAAACTAACAGTCAAGCATGACCCAAGGAGGGTTCTTGCTGATACTAGTCAAATTGGACAACAATGACAGCTAAATAACCGATTGAACTAACATGCTGATACTAGTCAAATTGGACAACAATGACAACTAAAAGAAACTAAAAGAAATACAATAGTAAACCGAACCCAATTAAGTTTGAATCTTTTGTTTCTCAGAAACAAAAGCTTCTGTGATTTTGTCTCAAGAAGTGAGATTTGGTACCAAGGCCATGAATATAGGTTTGCCACTTATCCATGAACAGTATATCCCATGATGATAATTAGACGTGTAATAACAGTCTATCCACTGCCTTGGTTCACGAACAGTATATCCCACGATGATAAAGCACCAAATAGTCCTATAACGAAATCAAGCAATGTAACCCTTCTTGGTTCACTAAATCTTAAATTTGGAAGCATTCTTGTATATGACTTTGTTCTATTTTGCACATTAGTAAATAGCAAAGACAAGAACCCTTACTGAGATTTTGTGGTCGGCAGAGGATTCGTCTCCCACGGCACCGCGACAACACCATGGGCTGCCGGCGATACGCGAGGAGGCATGCGGTGGCACGGGAGGCCAGCGGGGTCGTGGGAGGCTGGAGACGACGCCCGCGATGGTGTGGGAGGCCAGCGGGGTCGCAGGGACGGCGCATGGGAGGCTGGCGTGGACGCGCGAGGCCAGGACAGTCACGGGCGCGTGGGAGGCCGGTAGCCACGGGCAAGGCCTGTGGCGTCGCGCGAGACCAGCGGCGTCGGTGGGTCGCAGGACGGCGCGAGTCCGGTGTGGCCGCCCTCGGTGTCCACACGCGAGCCGGCGGCAGGGTCGGCGGCGTGGTGTGGGCAGGCGGCGGGGCCGGCCGGTGGTGTGGGCGGGCGCGTGGCTGTGTGTTTGAGTGTGTGCGTGTGTGTGTGTGGCCAGGTGCGGGATTGGGGTGGTTATGAGGGAGGTTTGCCGAGTGCCTACGATCTAGCACTCGACAAACCCCCGTTTTATTTTTTTTTCATTTTCAATACCTAAACTACTGTGCGTAGGGCCGAGTGTCCCAGATATGACACTCGGCAAACCTCATCTTTGCCGAGTGCCAAAGCAGGTGCACTCGGCAAATCCACTTTTTTCATTTTCCTTCGTTTCCTTCTTTTTTTCATTTGATTTTTCTACCAATATTATTCCATTATAATATACCAAATCTTAACATGGAGTACCACATGTTGTATGTGGACAGTAGAAAAAGTTTCAAGGCCAGAAGTAAAAAAACTTATTATTTCATGCAGTTGTCGCTCAAATTCAATGTATATCAATTAAAATTTTATAATTGCACTTAATAAATTAAAATTATCAAATGGATCCAAAAAATTACCAAAATTACACATAAATCAATCTATGTTCTCTATTGTCTATACAAAAAGTTTTGAAGTCAAACCCCAATTCGACCGTCACTTTGACTCTAAATCTTACGAATCCTTCTCAACGCTACGATTCTTCTTCTGAGATACTTCGGTTTGCAAACATCGTACATGACAGATTGTGCGAAACCTTCTCCATTTTTTACCACGGCCTCCACGTATGATATCACGAGATCTTGACAAATCTCATGATTTTCAGACTTCGTTTGTTTTTTTTAGAATTTAAAACCCATTCGGCCATACGTTCGTGGTTGTGTTTCCTGAACAAGATGTTCGAAAATTATTTTCAGGTCCTGGGTAAGGCCTCACACCAGACTCAATAACATGAATATCATTTTTCTACTCATTTTATTCTATTATTTGAATCACTTGCGGTTCAAATTTGACTTATACCAAAAAATTCCTTGAAAAGCAATAAATTAATTCAATATAGCAAACGGATCCAGAAATATACCAAATCTTAACATAGAGTACCACATGTTGAATGTAGAGAGTATAAAAAGTTTCAAGGGCAGAAGTGAAAAAAACTTATTATTTCATGCAGTGGTCGCTCAAATTCAATGTATATCAATTAAAATTCTATAATTGCACTTAATAAATTAAAATTATCAAACGGATCCAAAAAATTACCAAAATTACACATGAATCAATCTATGTTCTCTATTGCCTACACAAAAAGTTTTGAAGTCAAACCCCAATTCGATCGTCACTTTGACTCTAAATCTTACCGAATCCTTCTCAACGCTACGATTTTTCTTCTGAGATACTTCGGTTTGTAAACATCGTACGTGATAGATTGTGCGAAACCTTCTTAATTTTTTACCACGGCACCAGATCTTGATAAATCTCATGATTTTCAGACTTGGTTTACTTTTTTTAGAATTTAAAAACCATTCGGCCATACGTTCGTGATCGTGTTTCCTGAACAAGATGTTCGAAATTTCTTTTTATTTCCCGGGTAAGGCCTCACACCGGACTCAATAACATGAATACCATTTTTCTACTCATTTTATTCTATTATATGAATCACTTGCGGTTCAAATTTGACTTATACCAAAAAATTACTTTAAAGGCAATAAATTAATTAAATATAGCAAACGGATCTAGAAATATACCAAATCTTAACATGGAGTACCACATGTTGTACGTGGAGTGAAGAAAAAGTTTCAAGGTCAGAGGAGGAAAAAACTTTTTAATTTACCGAGTGCCAAAATAAAACACTCAGCAAATGAACCTATTTGCCGAGTGCCAGATAAAAACACTCGGTCTTTGCCGAGTGTCACTAACCGACACTCGACAAAGTTCTAACGGCCGGCACCCTGGTTGATGGCTGGTACACGTGGCGGTCTTTTACCGAGTGTCTATTCTTTGTTGAGTGTATTGTTGTTGTTTGCCGTGTGTTTTATTTCCTGCAATCGGCAAATAAGTTTTTTATCGAGTGTATTTATTTTTGCTGAGTTTTTACCTGTAGACACTTGGTAAAGATACTGTTTGCCGAGTGCCCAAAGAAATGCAGTCGGCAAACAACCATATACCGTTTCCGGTAGTGGAGTGCTTGACCAACAGTTCAATAACTATTGCCAAGCAAAACCTACTCCCATGTCTCTGCTTCTTTGTCGAGAGGGATGAAAGTTTCATGACTGTATATGCTAGAACACTGATATACATGTAAAGATGGCAGCGGGCGTGATGCCCGCGGATACTACCTTCTTATGCCCGCGCCCGCCAGCTAAATCTCTTACCCGCGCCCGCGCCCGCGACCCGCCACGGGCAACAAACCACGCCCGCGCCCTCCATCCGCGGGCATGAAATGCCCGCGGGCATGCCCGTGTGTCCGCCAGGTTGAGCATATACATAAACCATAGTGCATTACAAGAGATATGAAGATACATATTCACAACAAATCGTGTATATATACATATATTTGCCTGTAGGTCCCACATGTTAGACCTGTGGAGCGGGTCTGGCGGATAAGCGGGCGAGGATAGCAAATTTCTTTGCCCGCGAAGAACTATCCTCTGGGTTCAGGATGGTGCCCGCGCCCGTGCCCGCGGGCAAGAAGTGGTGCCCGTATCCTTGCCCATCGGGTTTCATGCCCGCGGGCATGCGGGCATTCTGTGCCCGTTGCCATCTTTATATACATGTCCCCCTTATTTTTTTGAAAGACTGCAAAAATGGTATTGCTGATCTGTTTTGCTCCTTGCTTTCCTAAATGGAGGTACTATATATAGCCGTCTGTCTAAACTGCACATGACCATAATTAGACAGTAGCGTTTGTCCGCATGCATATGTGTCATTAATTTTTTTACATATATATATATATATATATATATATATGGTCAAGATCATCTGTCCTCGTTGGCTTCGATCTGTTCGTCGTCGTTGCCATACCGTAGACACATGCATGTCGACCGGCAACATCTAATAAATCCCCTGATATGCAGTGCTCATGTTCATAATAAGAAAGACGTGACAGTTGGCTCGCACTAGTCAACACGGTACCCGTACCGTACCCAAACGAAAAGTAAATGAAATTTCCACCGAATTCTTGCTAGCTCTGTACTGTTAGTTATGCTCATTTAATTCATCCATTATCGGTGCTTGTTGAATCTATCAGCACGAGTCGTACCTCTAGGTAAAATAGTAAAATGGTGCATTGTGTAGGAAACATGTATGTAAAAAAACATGAAAGATATACTACTACTGTACTGTTTCTAGAACTCTCTCATACCCCAGTCCTGAAATACAAGTTAGCCTAGCTAGGAATTTTATTATGCCTTGTTTCATCTCCCGAAAAACATGAATAATAAACAACCATGTCCGGGTATGCAACAACAGGTACACAGGGTACATGATGCATACAAAGAAATCCTATCGATCTCAACAGGGAGCACAAGCCAGACAGCCAGTATAGCCGCTGGCCAAACAGACAGTGGAAATGGAAATGCATGCAGAAGCGAAGAGGAAGCACGCAGCAGGTACCCTGACGAAGCAGTCATGGAAGTGCAGGCGGATGAGGCCGGCGGCGATGCCGCTGTTGTTCTTGAAGTCGGCAGCGACCGCCTGCTGCACCAGGGCCTCCGCCGATGGGCATGACTTGTTGTAGAAGCCGACCTTGAGGCCGGCGGCTATGGCGCTGGCCGGGAGAAGCGCAAGGTCGACGGCAACCGCGGTGACGAAGAAGTAGCCACGCTCACCCGTCGTCATTTTGACGATCAGGAAGCTTGTTCCAGCTGGTTCTTTGGCTGGGAAATCCTTGCGAAAAAACTGTTAGAGCCCAACAGCCTATTGGGCCTTGGTCACGCGCCCTGATCGGGAGCGCCCAACCCTACATGGTTGGTGGGCCCCCGTCGCACTGCGCTATATAAAGAGGTGGGGGCCGGCGGCTCAAAGCACGAGGTTCGCCGTGAGCCGCAAACCCCACCGACAAAACCCTAGACCGATCTAAGAGGGTGCGCAGCCAGCGACGGAAAGCTCCGCTGACCCTCGCCCTTGTCATCTGCACGCCCGTCTCAGACCTTTGATCGACGTCCGCGGCAACCTCTACTCCACCCGTCGCTGCCCGTGTGCTGCCTCCATCACCGAATCAGCGATGGCCAAGACAACCGCGACTTCATCGAAGGCTCGGGTTCATCACCAAGCACCTCTCTACCCTATCTCCCTCACGGTGTAGTGTTCTAAGTCTAAATGTGCATGTGCTTCACGGATCCAAGTGTTCATCCGCCTAGATCTACCCTAGTCGATCCACGAATGTTAACAATGGTACCAGAGCCTACTAGCACGTAGATCTAGAACGGTGCGATTAGAAAAGAAAAGATGAAGAGATCCAAAGGCGGATCTAAGCGTAAAAGGGTCGGCCGACGTTCGGGTTGAACCCTAAACTCGATCCGTCGGATCTCGAGAAAAATATGGTTCGGATGAACCCTAAACCTAATGAGGTTAAAGAAGAACCCGAAGGCTATTTGGGGAAAAAGAAAACCAGTGTCGTCCCCAACCCTAACCCTAATCGGGAAATCGTGCAAAATCCGAATCAAAGAAACCGGAAAAGGATGAAAAGGATCCCGATCTCGGATCGGATCGTAAAGAACCCTAACCCTAGAAATGAAACCCTAACCCTAGATCGGGTTTTGGGAAGGAAAAGGATGAAGAGGGGAACCTACCCGGTCCTCCCGACACCGCCGTCTGCTGAAAGCTACCACCGTGGCGGGCGGTGATCACCGCCGCCATGGTTGGCGAAGCGGATGAGAGGCCGCCGGCTCGGCCGTGGCTCGCAGGCGGCGGTCCAAAGCCGCCGACGGCGGCGCTGGCTCTCGCCATGGGCGCAGCGCGCGACCGGCGAGGGGCTTGGCACCGGTGTCGTCCTCCCTTCTTCTCCGGTGACGAGGTGGCCGCGCGCTCCCTTCGTCTTCGCTAGCGTCGCCGTGGGAGAGGAGAGGAGAAAGCAAGCAGAGAAATGGGCTAGGGTTCAGCGAGCGACGGCGTTCGCTGGTTTTGATCCAGCGACATTGAAGGCCAACCGTCCGATCGGCGCGAGCGGCTGAGATCAATTGGGCCAGCGCCGCAGCCCAGGCGGGAAAGGGCGCGAGGCCGAATTCCCGGCCCAGGCCTAGGTTGCGGCTGGCGCTGGGAGCGCTGAGAGCCGCCGGGCGGGTCATAATTTGGGCCGGAGAGAAGAGCGGGGCTGGGCCAGCTGGTAGCCGGGTCGTCGAGTCTTGTTGCACGCGCGCACGCACGCGTGCGGAATAAAGCCATGGGCCGTTTTATTTGGGCCAGCATAAACCGATTCTTTGGATCGGGCCGAAATGGCCAAATAAATAGTAAAGTCACAGTTTTTTATTTTCTTATTTTCCAGAAAACAGTTTGATCAATCTGAATTGAATTTTTGTGATAATTTTCTGTACAAAATTCATCCAACGATAATTTTGTTCAGTAAATAGTAAAGTTGCTTCTGGAAAATAGGAAAATGATCATTGAATGTTAATGTTTCCGCTGCGTATTTAAAGTAATTATGGACTTTTAATTAAATTCGAACCACCGGGAGAATTTGATTTTAAGAGCCAAGAGATAAATATAAGTTGATTATGATATTGTCTGACCAACGTTGTTAATAGCAATATTATAATTTTAATGATTATGCATTATTTCTATTTCTGCCCAACGGTGATGTAGATTTAATGTATAAAATAATTGTATGTTTTAATTTTGACCAACGTTAAACTAAGGCATGCAATTATTGTTGTTATTTCTATTCTCACACTATTTGAATTGTGTTTTCAGGAGGATACAACTTAATGAGTTGTATCAAAGAGATCCCCACTCTAAAAGGTGATAACTATAATGAGTGGAAGAAAAAGATAGACCTGGCCTTCATCCTCGCTGAGGTGGACTGGGTTGTCACCACACCGTGCCCCAGAGAACCTATGGCACCGGTGAGGGAGACTGATGAGACTGATGCTGCATGGCAGAATAGAGAGCGGGATTTTGCTCCCGTAAAGATGTCTTATGACCTTGAGCATAGGAAATGGGTCACTGCCAACAAGAAGTGTTTGGCGGTGATAAAAAACACGATTGAGCTCGCTATTGTGGGCTCAATTCCTGATCGTGACACGGTCACAGAGTACCTAGATAGAATAAAGAGTCAGTTTCACTGGCTCTTCAAAGACATATGCAACCCAGCTGATCAAGCAGTTGGTTACAGAAAGGTACTCTGGTGGCGGCAGTGGCATTAGAGACATATCTTGAGAATGAGCAATCGGCATCTAAGCTCAAACCAATGGATTTGGCACTCAAGGATGAGTTTCTTATTCATTTGATTTTTGCTTCTTTGCCCAAAGAATTTGACACCTTTGTTGTTAATTACAACATACAACTGAAAAATGGGATTTAGAAAAGCTCATAGCCATGTGTGTGCGGGAGGAGGAAAGAATAAAAGTTTCACAAGGTGGTTTCATCAACTACCTAAAAGATAAGAAAAAGAACTATTATAATGACTCTTCCTCCAAGCCATCGGAAAAGGTCCCATGCAATGAGCTCAGAACCAAAGCAATTCCGGTGGCTAAAGACCGTTGTCTCCATGCAGAAGAAGACGGGACATTATAAAAAGAACTGTCCCGATTTCCTAAAGATGATAATGAAGAATAAAGGTGAGAACATTATTACGTTCGTAAATGAATCCTTGTATGTAAAGTTTTCAAAATCTACTTGATGGATTGATTCAGGTGCAACTATTCATGTTGCTAATTCATTACAGGGATTCCGTTCGATGAGAACTTTGCAAAGAAGCTTAAAGTTTCATTAAAGCTCTAAATGGAGTACAAGCAGATGTTGAGGCCGTTGGAGATCTTCCTCTAGAGCTTCCAGATGGCTTTATACTTTTTCTTAGAGATGTTCTTTATGTACCTTCTTTGCAAAGAAACCTGATTAGTGTATCAAAGTTGGACCATGATGGTTATGATTGCCATTTTGAAAATGGCAAATGTCGATATTGTTTAATAATAATGTGTTGGTCTTGCCTTCCGACAAGACGAGCTTTATTTGTTATCACTTCGTGAAAATGTGAATTCCGTATGTGATGTGAATGAAAATGTATCCTCATCGAACAATGGAAGCAGTAAAACGAAAAGAGAGCTCATGATGCGTTGTCGAAATTATAGCAATCGTCGTTTAGGCCATATTTCGAGGGGAGAATAGAAAGACTAGTTAAGAATAATATTCTTCCTTCATTAGAGCTCTCAGAGTTAGAACAATGTAGAGATTGCATAAAAGGAAAGTATGTAAAGAAAATTAAGAAAGATGCCAAACGGTTGCAGAATTCTCTGCATTATTATTCACACGTACATATGTGGTCCTTTTCCGTGAAAAGTGTGGATGGTTATGATTCATTCATAACATTCACGTGACGATTACTCTCGGTTTGGCTATATTTATCCAATTAAAGAAAAAATGTAAGCGTTGGATAAATTCAAAATATTTAAAGCGAGAAGTTGAAAATCAAGCATGATTTAAAGATTAAGATAGTCGAGTCGACCGTGGGGGAGAGTACTACGGTTGGCATACCCCATATGGACAAGTTCTCGGACCTTTTGCAAGGTTCTTACAGAGAATGGTATAGTCGCCAAGAAGATTCAACACCGGGCGAACCTCAGCAGAATGGAGTAGCTGAAAGGCGTAACTGTACCCTGATGGATATGGTGCGTAGTATGATAAGTTACTCCACTTTACCGATGAGTCTATGGATGGAGGCGTTAAAAACCGCCATTCATATTCTCAATAGAGTACCAAGTAAGTCGGTGCCCAAAACACCGTATGAGTTGTGGGATGAAAAGAGTACCTCACTTAACCACTTGCGTGTGTGGGGAGCCTCGCCGAGGCTAAAGTTTTTAACCCAAACATTGGGAAGCTAGATCCCAAAATAGTGAGTTGCCATTTCATTGGCTACCCAGAAAAGTCAAAAGGTTTTCGTTTCTACTGTCCTAACAGACATACAAAGTTTGTGGAAACGAGACACGCTGTCTTCCTAGAGGATGAAATGATTAAGGGGAGCATGGTAGCTTGAGAAATTGACCTTGAAGAGAAGCGGGTGTATGCACCCACTCCGATCATTCATGAGCTATTTTCTCACTACCTGTTGTTCTTTGCACCAACAAGACAAGACAACTGTGGTGCCAGCATCTGTTGTTATCCCGCCTGTGGCAACAATGAATGATGATGAGGAACTGTGGCTCAGATCCTATAGAACCTATTGCCACACATGAGGGGGAGCAACAACAGCCTCAAACAGAAAATGTGCCAATTGAGGAGGCCCCTAGAAGGTCTCAAAGAGTTAGAAAATCAGCTATTCCTGCTGATTATGAAGTGTACAACACTGAAGAATTTCAAATGGAGGATGATCCCACCTCATTTGAAGAAGCCATGAAAAGTGATCATTCATCAAAGTGGCTTGAGGCCATGGAAGATGAGATGAGATCAATGAATGCAAATAAAGTTTGGGATTTGGAGATAATTCCTAAAGGAGCCAAAACAAAGAGGGTCGTAAATGGGTCTACAAAACAAAACTTGACTCTCAAGGGAATATAGAAAGATATAAAGCCCGACTTGTGGCAAAAGGCTTTACACAAAGAGAAGGGATTGATTACAATGAGACTTTTTCTCCAGTCTCGTGTAAGGATTCCTTCAGAATCATAATGGCATTAGTGGCACATTACGTT